ATTATGATTATGTTATCTTTCTTATTCTCTAAAGTTATTAGTTGCATTTTTCAATATGCTTACTTAGTTTGTGTCATTTGGTAACCATTTTCATAGTTTTTGGTTACCTTTCTGTGTAATTTCTCACACCACTCATGTCGTCAGATACTCTACCAATTTCTGTATGTTTTCTCTTTATTGCTGATTCCCAGTAAATGTACTGGTTCATCACTAAGTCTTCTACACAGCTGTCATCTTGGTTATCTTCCCTGTCATTCTGAGGATCATTCCTTCTTTCTCTTGAATTCCCTGTTCTGGAACGTGTGTTTTCCTCTTTCTTACTTTATTTTCTCATTTTGGTGGCACAAATGCATCAACAGCTATCTAATCAAGAGAACATGGGAAATAAAACTACTGCGTCCTCAGGATTCTGAAAAGGTGGACCTTCACACTTCATTGTTTCATCAGCTTTAGATTCAGGATTAGAATTAATTTTCCTTCAGATGCATTGCTCCATTATTTTCTAGTTTCCAATCTTGTGTTTTCTAGCCAGCCCCCACACCCCATATCCCCCACCTCTTTTTACTTTCTGGTAGCCAAAACATTTTATTAGTGTAAGTCTGTTTTCCTCTTTGATGCTGGGGAATAATGGGTATAATAATAGATAATTTTAAATTTTAAAAAATTGTGTACTTTGGGTCTAGACTTTTTATTTCTTTTGATTATTTTATTAAGATTTTTCTTTTTTCTGTTTTTCCCTACTTTGGGGCTTATACTATTGAATTGTTGAAATTTCTGGCTGCTCTTATAACTTTTATGCTTATTTTCAATTTTTTTTTCTCCTCTGCCTTTTAGGGAATCCTCAACTTCCAAACGAACCATCAATTTGGGTTTTACATTTATAATATTATATCACATTACATGTATATGCTATATTACCTTTATAATCATTTTTAGTTTCAACCAGCTCCTTGTTTTTCTGAATATTCCTTATTACAGCTTCTTGTTCCTCTTTCAGGAATGTAGTAGGTTCCTTTCTCTCTGAAATTAATGATAATTTTAAAAACTATTTTTTTAAAAAAATACTCCTTTAATAATTTTAGTTCACTCAAAGTTTTCTTTATTTCCCCCAAAACTACTTTTTGTAGTAGCTTTTTTTTTTTGTTTTCTCAAGACATCTTCTTGGGTTAACTGTTTGTATTGAAGAAGCAATTAAGAAGTTGATTGGAAATTCTAAATGTTGGTGTGAAGCTTGTTAACCTTGAGCTTTTCTCTTGGATGATATGACTGTACAATCTGTTAAAAAATCTGTGATATTAAAATTGTTAGCTCTTTCTACTTAAAAGCTGGTCAGATTACCCTGCCTGGAGGGTAAAAGTTTAGTTAACCTCATCCTTGGAGCTGAGTGGGGAAAATTGTTACTAGAAGAATGAGATTGGAAAAAATGACACAACTGGTTTGATGCAGCTTGTATACAATTCTCTTTGTTTGACCATTTTCCCCATAGTCTTGGTTTTGAGGTACCTGGTTGCATTTGCCATGTTAGGATACATTATTGACAGCGATAATAAGCAAGTTATCTATGACTTAATAACAGAGATCTACTGTTACATCAGGGAACAAGCTGGGTGTGTCTTAGGTTTTGTGTTCATATTTGCCACAGCAGAAGAAAGGGGAAGTTGGTAAATATACCCTAGACATTAAAACACCTACTACAAGTGACACTCTTGCCATATTGGCCAAAGTCACACAGCTTCTCCTTACATCAGAGATTCAGAAAAGTACAATCTTATAATGTGCCTGGGAGGAGAACCAGAAATAGGTGAATGGCACTAATGACTTCTCACTTTGTACTGAAAGTTCCTGGGTCTTTTCACCACCTGAATTATAGATCATTTCGTTCTCCAGCTTTTCCCTGCAGATTTATGATATGTGTTCTAAATTCTGATAAACTGGCTACAGCTTGCCCATTTTGATGTTTGTTTCTCATGTTCTTGCTGTTACCTGGTATTGGCATGAAAATTATTCTAGTTTTAATGCTGCTTCAAAAAGAAATGATATTGGATGCATTTATAAGTGTCATATTTATCAGAAAACCTATGGTTGTATGTTTTCTATAAACTGAATGAGCTAATTCTGCAACTTTGCAGTGTTAAAATAAATAATGAATGTGGTAAGGTAGACTATTTTTTTTTCATTTAAAAATATGTACTGGTATCACAAATGTATAAAGATGTAAAAAACTTTTTGATCTTCCCAGTTCTCTCTATATGTTGGATTTTAAAAGGTAATTCTAATGAAAGCATAGAAAAATAGTCATTTGTTGAGTCTTGAAAAAACAGTTTCATTTCCCGGAGATTTATTACTTAAATGTCATTTTTTTTTCCAAGTCAGAAAGATTCAAATTCTTTGCTTTCATTTAAAGTAAAATAACTACCATTTAGTTGTTCTACCAATTATCTAGTGCTACAAAAATGTTGCCTAACAATCACCAACTTAAATGGCAAAATTTCATTTTATTTGTTCCACATGTATTTTTGCTCATGAGACCATAGGTTGCCAGGCACAGTTTGATCCAGGCTGGGCTTCCTCTGGCATCTTTGGTCAGTTGTGGAAGGACTGGATAGCTGTGCTTCTGGAGCTGTCCAGCTGCAGCAGGGCTGCCTCAGCTCTACCCCATGTGTACTCTTATTTACTAGTCGGCTTTCCAGGGCTTGTTCTCATAGTGGTGACATGATTCCAAGAGAAAGCAAAAACTTTAAAGTCCAAGGCTCAGATTGTCACACAGTGGCTTTTGCTGCATTGTGTTGGCCAATACAAGTCACAAGGGGCAGCCCAAATTCAAGGGATGGGAAAGAGACTTTCCCTGATTGAAAGACTCCCAGTTTCAAATTGCAGAGGTTGTTGATTTTGGAAGGAATTAAGGAAGGGGCCTTTAAAATATTTTTTGAATAGGCTATGTCTTTCAGAATTGTCAAATTATCATTAAAAATAATTTTGATGTTAAAATACATAATCTGGGCACATCGCTGAAGGAATTTAAAGAATTGAGTGACATTTTTTTTCTGGCCATGAAAATTTTCCTCAATGCTTATATATTAACAATTAATTTTCAACTGATACTTAACTCCTCTCATTTAGAACCAACCCATCCAATTATGAATACCTGATTTCACTGAAATTTTATATTTGACAAATACTTATAAAACTGAAAATCTAACCTGAATTGTATATATTAAAATCATAATAAAACTCATTCCAGAAGAAACAAAGTGTTAACACTTAGAGCTTTATATATTTATTTATTCTTAGAAGAATAAGATGATGAAAAAAATGTCTGAAGACTGTCAAACATAAGAATATATTCCACTGAAGTGAAATTAGGTGTAGAGTCAGTGGAATTGATACAATTAAGGAGAAAAAGAAGTATGGAATTAATTACACTTGAAAGAAAGCATCTTTATATATTTTTAGGTTTGGCATCATTGTATGGCAATCTCTATTCCGTTGGGTGTAATTAAAGGAGTGATGTAACTATTTTATTTTAAAATGACAATCATTTTCCATATGACACTATGTATGTCTTTCCAATTATTCTACTTAGCAGGAAAACTGAAATGTATGGAAGACTATATAGTTAGAATGTATGTAAGGGATACAAGAAACAAATAAAGCTATCATAAGATAATTTGGAGGGGGGGGGGGCTTATAGGACTCCCATTGCCCTTGTAATCTCTTCTGTTTTTGCCCTCCACTCAGATTCCACTCATAAGAAAAGAAGTAATTATCATGTGTTTTTTTCCTGAATTGAGTGATTATTTTTCATTATAAAAAATAAATTCTGAAACACACTGTTAATTTTGTTTGACTCTCAATCTTTGAACCACTAGCACTTTTATTCCCCAGTGAGCATCCTGGAGACCTTGACTTCTTAAGGTCTGTAGTCACGCTGCTCAGTACTGTATCCCGTATGATCCCTGAATGGTTAGCCCTGGTGAAGTTGTAATTTAAGTGTAAAATAAATGGAATGTTGAAGATCTACTGCAAAAAGAATGCAAATGTAAAATGACTCATTAACTTTTTTTCGGATATCTTGGATATACTATGGCTAAAAAATACATTATTAACATTAATTTCACCTGCTTCTTTCATGAGGTGACTGGGTATCTAAAATTATATTTCTATTGGATAGTGCAGATCCAGCCCCCAAAACAGGAGATGTGGGAACACAGAGAGTTCTCTCTCTCCCACCTAGATTATCAGTTACAATTTCCTCCTAAGAAATTGCATGGTAAAGGAAGGAGACCCTCATTGTTATACAAAATTACATATAAGAGGAAGTGAGGGGAAAGGGGAAAAAAAAACAAGAGAGAGAAATGAATTACAGTAGATGGGGTAGAGAGAGAAGATGGGAGGAGAGGGGAAGGGAGGGGAGGGGGGATAGTAGAGGATAGGAAGGACAGCAGAATACAACAGACACTAGTATGGCAGTATGTAAAAAAGTGGATGTGGAACCAATGTGAATCTGCAATATGTATACGGGGCAAAAATGGGAGTTCATAATCTGCTTGAATCAAATGTATGAAATATGGTATGTCAAGAGCTTTGTAATGTTTTGAACAACTAATAATAAAAAAAAGAATCAAAATTAATTAATTAATTAATTAATTAAAAAAAAAAAACAGGAAAAAAAAAACAATTTCCTCCTAAGGACTTCCCTGTCTCCAGGAAGTGAGAAAGCACATGACTTCTTCTTCAGATGATATCTCCCTCAGTCCTTGTAGGGTTTCACAGGATCAAGCTGTCAGATCAAATGTTTATCCAGAAGATATCCAAAAGACAATGAAGAAATGGAAAGAAGCAATTTCTTTCACTAGTGGTGTTTCTTATATGCATTTATTGGAGGGACCAGTGAAGGAGATACCTGGAAAAGATTAGGTATCCTAAGGAGAAAGTGTCCTCTGGAGGACTTTATTTTGAAGTGACCCATCTTCCCTTTTCTTTCCTTTTGATTATTCTAGAACGCTGCGATGACTGGGGACTTGATACCATGAGGCAAATCCAAGTATTCGAAGATGAGCCCGCTCGCATCAAGTGCCCGCTCTTTGAACACTTCTTGAAGTTTAACTACAGCACAGCCCATTCAGCTGGCCTTACTCTGATCTGGTATTGGACTAGGCAGGACCGGGACCTCGAGGAGCCCATTAACTTCCGCCTCCCTGAGAATCGCATCAGTAAGGAGAAAGATGTGCTCTGGTTCCGGCCCACCCTCCTCAACGACACGGGCAACTACACCTGCATGTTAAGGTAGCCCGACTGCTCTCTCTTCCTTTTGATTCTCAGGCTTTATTCAGATGTTGAATGCACCAAGAAGCTGGGGGAGGGAAGGGAGTATGTAGAGTTATGCTTCACTCCAGTGTCTTAGCCTAGAAGGACTGAAGGATGTGCAGGGAGAATGAGCATGCTCCAGGAATATTCTCCATGGGTGGTTTCTTTTCAGACCCCAACACATGTTGCAGTTGTTCAAAGGTGGAACTTTGTTTATTTGCCCCCTTCCCCTGGCATTGGAACACATATCCCTAACCTGGAATCATCCACTTCCCTAGAAAATTAACAAGGCTGGGAATAGAGCCCGTTTGTGTCTTTTATTCTTGGCATCTTTCAAAGTGCCTGGCCTAGAATAATTCGGAGTACCTTTATAGAAGAAAGAATATTTAGGAAACATCAAATGTATGTAATACAGTGTTTAAATTTTTCTACTGAAATTCCCCTAGGAAGCAAGTGAATACCACATTCCTGAGAATCTAAGACACTATTGTTAAAAAAACCTACCATTATTGCAAAGTTTATCAAATCCATTTTTTCTTTAATATCTATATAGATTTTATCTTACAACATGTCTGCTTTTCTTTTATTGCAGATTAATGTTGTTTTTGTTTGGGAGTGGGCAACGCTTAAAAAAAACTGAGACTCCTTCAAAGAATAATAATTTTAAGGCTTAGTTCTTTGGATACCTTTTATTCACATTCCCTTTTACCAGGATATACTTTGTTTTCGAAATTCCCATCTAGGTCGTGACTTTCATTTTTATTTTTTCAAGCGGGGAGCGTTTTTTTTTTCTTATAATATAATTTCTTACTATTTAATAGGCATATTGTTTTACCAGAGCAGCAGTAACAAAATACCAGAGACAGTGTCCTAACCATTAGGAATTTCTTTTCTCAGAGTTCTGAAGCTGGAAGTCTAAGATCAGAGTTGGCAGGATGGGTTTGATTCGCAGCACCTCTCTCCTTAACTTGCATATGGCCATCTTTACATTATGTCTTTGCACTAGGCTCCCTCTGTATGTGTCTATGTCCTAATATCTTTCTGAAATGACACTAGTCATATGACACTTGACCCCCCCTTCTGATCTCATTTTACCTTACTTATATCTTTAAAGGTCCTGTTTCCAAATAGAGTCAAATTCCGAAGTCAAATTCAATATGTGAATTTGGTGTGTGAGGGAAACACAATTCAGCTCATAATAACTAGTAATCCCATATCTTTTTTCTCTCATTTTTTATGGTTCTCCTCTTTCATAAATACAAGCTGTGCTATAATTGCTTAAAAAGGTCCTTTATTGCAGAGAAGCCTCGGAATCACTGTGTCCTAATGGTCTATGAGGCCTCTAAAGACCCTTCTGGAGCTTTTACCTGATAATGGTTTTTATTGGAGTGAATTTTAGACTGGTGGTGGGTTCCCATTATTTATGTCCCAATGCAACTTGGTAAAAGTTAATACAGATTATATTGCAAATAGCATGAGAGGAGAAGGCAGAGAATTCAGGCTGCCATTGCAGCTCTGCCACCACTTGGCTGGTGAATATAGAAAGTTGTGTCCATATGTGGTGTCTTCATCCATGCAATGAGAGATGGCCTACTTGCTCTTCAAGCTCCTCTTCCTTTTTGATGATTGTTTATCCTTTACCATTTCCCAAGTGAACATTAGCTGATCCCTGGGATGGAGTCATCTTCTGTTTTCCATTAGACTCTGGTCTCTTCTGAATGATGTTCTATAGTATCTGTGTTACTTTTTTGCTTAGCTTCCCACTGCTTGCCTAGAGCAGTTCCCCAAACTTTCCTAACTAATAATTTTACATCATAAGAGTAGAGCTGCTTGGCCAGTAAGGCATGCATATACCTTTAGTGTTATTTATCAATTAAAGATTGTCTGTTACCTGCCTGCCTATCTTCCATGTCTCCAAGGCAAAGGGAAAATACCAAATTATACTTTGCCCAAGTTGTTTTTACCATTGAGCTATGCTTAAATATTGCCATTCTTGCCGTGCTTCACCAACACTGAGTATTATTAAAAAACTTTTAAGTGAAAAATTTGAACACACTCACATGGCACACACACATTTCTCACAAAAGCCCAACAGCTTACATGGGTGTCATAATCTGCCCAGTGGTTGGGCATTTTATATCCCTAATCCTTTCTCCTTTTTAAAAAGTCTAATATCAATAATGTTCAGGGTCATGTGTAAATATTTTAGAGCATTATCATTAGATAACTCTGTTGATATTTTTATTCTGTGATACCAATTGACATAAGACATGCCTCCATAAGCCATTCAGTTTTTACAGGAAGTTAACACATAAATGAAGTCTCTACTTGGTTCACTTTAATGTGGTTGCTATATTAAGTGAAATGCAAATGAGACTACCTATTTATTGCATATTTCTTTTTTCAGGAACACTACATATTGCAGTAAAGTTGCATTTCCTCTGGAAGTTGTTCAAAAAGACAGCTGTTTCAATTCCCCCATGAAACTCCCAGTGCATAAACTGTATATAGAATATGGTATTCAGAACATCACTTGTCCGAATGTGGATGGATATTTTCCTTCCAGAGTCAAACCCACTGTCACATGGTATATGGTAAGCAAATTAGAGAACATTTTATTTTTTTTCTTAAATGTCAGTACTTATTTGCTGAGTTAAATGTAGGAGCTGAGATTTCTCTTCTCAGTTTTTATGATTTCTGCTTTAAAAACTTTGCACAAAACTTGCCACTTCCTCGTTTTATACTGCTTCAAAGAAAAAGGTAATGGTTGATTTGCCTCCAGCCCACTGTTTCTTAATTTACGTCGCCTGGAATACCAGAACTAACTTGTTTCTGTTCACTTCCTGTTGAACACATTTTGAGAAATGTCTCCTTTTACTCACTGCCTAGTGAGGTCAGAAACTGCTGAGTCATCTGGTGAACTTCAATTCCTTGGTTTGTCAGGACTGTAATTTGGTATTTATGTGTGTCATTCTGATTTGCCCTCCTTTGTGGGCACCATCTTTCTGTGGTTTCTTCCACATCTGAGGGATCTGGGAAGTATTTAATCAAAAAATGAAAGTGTTTGAAGGAAACACTTATGGTAGCAGGAAAGCTAACTTAAATCTCAAGTTACCACTTACATCAAAGCCAAAAACTCAAGGTCTGCAAAACTTGGTGACAAATTATCCATGAGAACTCCTTTCAGTAATTGAGTGAGAGAAGCTACCAACACCTTTGAGACTCTTACGGGAAGGCAGGGAGGGCAGCAGAAGAAAGTGACATGTTGTCTGGCCCACCTGAGAGCAGGAGGCCCCAAAAGAACCACAAGTGCTCCTGGGAAAGTACAGCAGGCCAACTCAGGAGCAGCAGCTGAAATTAGGAGAGGATTTACTGGGAAAAGACAGGTGCAAATAGAAGAAGCTCTGATGGGGTTGGAGCCATTCTAGTGCCTTATAACTCTAAAAAGTTAACACACAGAAGAGAAGCAGCTACGTAAGGCCCTAAGTTTGATCCTCATCATTCAGGAAAAGGAGAAAATGAATTAGATTAGGACAATGTAGAGGAAGGAAAAAGAAAGGACTTGCAAAAAAGGGAGGAAGGGAATAGTCAGGACATCCCATGGCAGAGCCACCATAGATTTGGAGAGGAATCTTTGTGAAGTTAGAAAATCCTGCCATATTCTAAAGTCCAGAAAAAAAAATAATTTGACATAAAAAATGATCAACAACAGCAAAAACAAGCAAGCAAGCAAGCAAACAAACAAAAACCCAAGGTAAAATCCTATTCAGGGCTATAAGAAAAAGTAGACAGAATAACATCTATGCAGAAAAAGAAGGTACGTCAGAAGTGTGTATTATTACCTACTTCAAAATGAGCTAAAAGACATTAAGAGAAATCACAACAAAATTGAAAGAATAACATAAATAAATAGAATTAGAAAAGTCCAGAAATGACATAACTCACTGAAAACTTACAATGAAGAAAATATTGTTTCAGAAATGCAGGTAAACTAAGGAGACAGAGAGAGTGTGTGTGTGTGTGTGTGTGTGTGTGTGTGTGTGTGTATGCACCTGTATAAGTATGTTCCATTCTATTGAACTGATAGAATACTCTATTCCCCAAACCTCCTTTACCCTCCTACCCCAGCAGAAGTGTGCACACATGGTCACACACACAAACACACCATACATAATGCCTGATGATTGGTAGGAAGTAAAAAGGAGAAAACTTTTTAAAGTAAAAAATAAATAATGAATAAAATATAAAGGTTAAAGTAGCTATACAAATATCAGATAAAGTAGACTCTAAGACAATGAGGATTACCAAAGATAAAGAGGACATTCTGCAATAGTAAAAAGGTCACTTCGTTGGAGGCATAAAAATAGTAACAGTAAATGTGCCTTTTAAAAATGCTTTAAAATACATGAATCAAGAGTTGACAGAATTCAAGAGAGAAATAGACAATTCCACAATCATAGCTGAAAAAACTTAAATTCTCTTAAGTGTTAATGAAACAACTTAGGAATTAACTTAAAGAAAGTGTTAACTATTAGCCAAAGGTGTGCAATTTGAACTTCAATAAATATAGTACTTGCAATGGTTTTAATTCAATGAAGTAAGTTCTAATTCATAAGTTTATAATGATATTTGTAAAAATTTTCATTACTTGCATTTGAATACTGACAGGAAATCAGTTTATTGTCTGGAAACCTAGTAAACAAAGAGAAATAATTTAATATTCATTCTGATTTTCTTGGAAGAAATATACCATTTGTAATGAAATGGTGCAGAAAAGTATGTTTTATATAAGCATACCTACTAATAAATGAGGGATAAATCATAGATTTGAAACACCACTTTGCAAGTCCCAGTTGGTTAATAAATCTAAGCATTAAGCATCAATGATTGTTAATGTCACAAAATGATAAACCACTAGATATTTTTCTTCTAATAGAAGAACGCAGTGTTAGCTATAATCTTGTCAAATGTATTGATCAAGTCTTTAGATACTGCTGATATTTTGCCAGAAATCTAAAGAATATAAGAATATATTGAGGAACCCTATGAGTTTGCAGTTGGCAAAATCCAGACTGTGTGAAACTCTACAGGCCAAATATGCTGGGTGATTCAACATGTAAGAAAAGGAAAGGCGTGGAGGAGGAATGTCTTAAGAAACATGACATTAAAAGAAGCATATAAGACATTTAAAAAGTGGATGATACTATAACATCTAAGGATGTACACATAGGTGATAAAAATGATTGATGAAAACAAAGAAGTGATTTTACTATGAAAGTATAGATAGTCACTACTTCTGTGGACAGAGAAGTAAAGAAAGTGTGATTGACATGGGACACATGGAAGGCCTTCAAGGGTGATTGGCAAAGTGCTATTCCTGGACCTGACTGGTGCTTACCAAGATGTTTGCTTCAAAGTAATTCATTAACTCATACGTATGTTTAGCGTGGATTTTTTTGTATATGGTTTATTGTATATGTTTTATTGTATAATAAAGTGATTAAGAGTAAAGGAGAACTTGAGAAAAGGAAGGAGGGTGAAAGGAGAAGAAGAGGAAGGGAGAGAAAGGGAAGGGTAAGGAGAGGGAGAGGCAGATTGATTTAAGAGCTTCACCAACCCTGCAAAGTCCTTAGTTGAACTCTGTTCATTCAAATGAACTGTACAACAAATTGTGAGAAAATCCGACAATTCTGAACTCATAATACTGATGATATCAATGAATTATTATTTTTTTGAGCTTGATAATGGGACAGTAGTTATACTTGCTGAGAGAGTCTTATGATTTAGCAATATAAGCAGAAATATTTGCAAATAAAATTTTATGATCTCTGTGATTTGTCTCAAAATAATTTTGGGGTAGTGAGTGGGTATAGATTAAATAGAACATAGACTGATACTTGTTAGGGTTAGTAAGGATATAAAGGCTCATTTCATGTTTTCTTTGTAATTGTAATTCTCCATAGTATGAGACAATTAAAATTGCATAGATAATTAAAATAATAATATTAACAATTTTATATGAATAAGTGTAATATGTATTCCAGTTTAAATGTGTTGATCTATTTACTCTGCAGTCAAGGTCTTTAACCTTGTGTGCTTTTTCAGTTTTCTTCCCATACAAATGCACTCATTTTCTCCTCTCCTTTTTCCTCATGCAGTGCCCCTGCCTAGAATGTTCTTCTTTTAAAACAGATTAAATTCTACTTGCTACATGAATTGTTCCTTGCTTTCTCCATCTGGAAATCACTTTTTCCATATACACTCAGAGCTATTTATTTATATCTGTTTTCACTGCATTTATTTTTCTGTAGTCATTAATTCCTGTATCCATTCCACATCCACTATCTGAAGATCCGTTGTGTTCACTGTAATGTGCCAGCAGTCTGGGGGAAAAGAGACAGATGTCCAGCTCTGAAATCTCAAAGGAGTACACAATTTAACCGGATGAGTTCATAAGAATAATTTCTGTCCTTATCAAAAGTAGAACTTAAATTTCACAACCATGATCAAGAGGAATTGCTGGTGGTTTTAAGAAGAGGAAGAGCATGTGTTCTGTTTGTTTATGGAAGAGGAAGAGCATGTGTTCAGCTGTTTCTTCAAAGTAATACCATATCCAGTGATTCCTTGGTTTTGTATTTTCCTCTCTGGAAGAGGATTGGTGCTATGAACCATGGCAGGGAATAGTGAAGGAGACACTGAGGAATGCAATGCATTTAATAAATGTCATATTAAGTTAGAGATTTCTGCAAGACATCTGGGTGGCAGTGACTAGCAGATAGTGGTTGCGTACTTTTGGGTCTGGAGCTTGGGGGGAAAAACAGAAGTGGTGATAGAGAATTGGATACATTTCTGTGATGGTTGAAGCCCTTAAAAAGGCTATATAAAGTGACAAGAGAAGCCAGCCAAGGTCAAACTCTAGAGAAATTATTCATGAGGTGAATGGAAGATAAAGTCTGGAGAAGAGACTGAGAAAAAAAATGTCACTGCCATAAAACCATTGTTGTGGTGGACAGCCAATAGTGTGTGGGTGACTGAAAAAGACAGTCAGCAAGCAGACACCTTTCTGTCTTCTACTCCTGATGCCTGTTATGCTGTGTTTTTTTTTTTTAATTTATATCTTTGCATAATTGAATGACACCTTTGATCATACAAGTTCTGCCATCATGGGAATGAAGTCAAGGGTTTCATTTGCTGCACACTCCTGTTGCTGTACAGTAGGGCTGATCTTGCCTTCATGCTCTATGTTCTAAGTCAGCTGCAAGCACCCACTTAGGTATCTTGGCCCCACTATACCAGTTCTCTTTTTGTTGAAGTACCTACCTTGAAATTGTAGAAATGATCTTTTTTGGTAATTTAAATAAGTCTACAAAGGTTAAAAGTTACATTAATTATAATCAGTTCTAGCAATTTTGCTTTTTTTGTTATCTGTAAGCAGAAAGAATACTGCTGAATTGAAAGGAGGGAGAGGAAACTAATAATCTCACATTTTACTAGTATAAGGCAGTGTGGTAGGTGACATATGTAATCATACATAATACTCATCAAAATTCTGTAACATAGGTGCCACCTTTTAATAGATTAGGAAAGGGAGACT